TTCTTTTTCTTTTTCTTATTTTCTCTATTTTTTATTCTTTTAATTTTGTATACTTTTATTGTATTCAAAAATTCTAATAAAAATGAGATTAACTAAAAATATATTGGTATATTGGAAGTCTCAGGGAATATTTAGTAAGGATTGGCTATGATCGTCTTGCTCTTGGAGATGCAATTAAGAAATTCCAACATTAACTCATATGACCTGGACTTATCTGCTATTGTCATGTTTTGGGCTGAAATCAGTAGGATTGTTAGCATGATTTTAGATCAGTCGCTGTATGTTAAACATACAGATATTCTTGGCAGTATCCCTGGTATTTAGAATTGTAGGCTTCTGGGGCATTGAGGCAGTTTTCCAGTAAAGTATACAGTACTGGAAATAGATTTAAAGAGTGTATTATTGATATGTATTATCTGTGAACATCTATATTAGCTATTTTTGACCAAGGAACAAGGAAGACTTTCTACCTTTATGGTCATTTTTTTTTGGAATTGTACTATTTAACACAATTTTCCAGGTTTTTACCTCCCTTTTATCATGATTATTAATTTTAAAATTGCATTATAATACAGCTGGATATATCTGTACTTTTGTAAATTAGTTTGATATGATAAAACATTTAAAAGGAGGAATTGGAATAACCAGAATACTTATAGTGAGTTTTGAATATTTCAATCTGAAAATGTTTTGCACGCTTCCATAAGACATCTGATTTTTTTAAAAAAAGTACAGCTAAGTGCTGTAACTAAACTTTAAGCAATACGTGACTCTTATTAAAATTCTCTCTTTTTAGTATGCTTCATCGTGCAAATATTAAATAAAGTCTGCTATTTTTCCATATTTTCTCACCTTGGAAATCCTTAAAGATAGTTCATTTATGTACTGAGCTTAGTATTTCTGATCTTCCTGATAGTGCTAATAAGACCCACTGCATTCCCAGTTCTCCAATATATCAACATAAAAATATAAACCTGGCTATTCTTTGTTGAATCATACCCAGTTTTTGGTTAGTATAGTGCCTTTTCCTCAGTAATCAAGACATTTCTAGCAAGCCTACAGATTATGATGGCAGCTGTTTCTGAACATGAAAACTCCACTTAATTGTAGTAGCTCATAGTTGATATGTGAATTAAAGCCATCTAAGGCAGTGACCATTTTTATAGGTATAAGAATAGCTGTGATTTCTCTCTGTGTTTGTTTGGAAAATATATGTGCAATCTGTCACCCCAAAGAGGTAATTGAGCCTGACTTGAATTCATAGTTAAAAAGCATTTTGCTCAACTCTTCACCACTGATAAAAACAATAATCTTCTGTTCTTAACCATAGTTGAATTAGTAAGGGAAGGGCATATTAGTATGGAAGATGTAAATTCAGTTTGATTCCTTCATTTGGTAAAAAGGCTTCGAGTATCAGATGTGCATCTGCTACCTATGATATGTTCCTCATATTTGCAGTAAGGTTTTATCTGCTCTTCAGTAGTAGCCAATTTATATTAAATATAAACTTATGCATGAAAAATTTATAAACATAATCTAGTTTAACTTTAGCAATGTATTTTATCAAATACTCTGGTATATTCTGTTTAGCAATGTAGTTAAGTCTTAGCTGAGTGATTTGACTATTATGAGGACCCACAGTTGGCTTGAAAACTACATTCAAAAAGTATCACTGGTTCATCATCAAAATAAGAGGGATCAGTGATATGTTACATAGTTTTGTCCTGACATTTTTATTAATGACTTGGTAGGGGAATGCCTATCAAATTTGCCAGTGACACAAAGTTGGCAAGGATAACAAATACTCTAGAAAATAGAAACAAAGTTTGAAATTATCCTGTTAGGTTGAAGTAGAGTGGAAAAAATAGAACGAAATGTAATAGAGACAAATGCAAAGTTCTTCACTGAGGGAAATAAAACTGTTATCTAGATGTAGGATGGACTAAGGCTGGTTTCATAGCAGTGTCCATGAAAAGGGTCTTGGACTTCTAGTAGATCACAAGCTGAATAAGAATCTGCGTTGTGATACATTTGCTGAAAACAGAAATACAATTTGAAATTGCATCTATCTATTCCAAATCATATGATGTAATAATACTATTATATTCTGCACTGGTTAGACCTTATTTAGGGTACTTTACCCAGTCCTGGGCACACTTTTTTTAGAAAAAGGAAAGATTCAAAGAACTACATTAGCTTTAAAGCAGAGCAACGAGGACATTCAGCTTTACAAGAAAAGACTGAAGAAACTGGGTAAGTTTAGCTTGAGAAAAGATGGCTAAGGAGAAACTGAGGGCAGTTGTCAACTACCTGAAGATTGTCACAGAAAGGTTAGACCAGTTATTTGTTGTCCTGGTGTGGGCTCCAATGCTGGCTAAATTATTTATATTTACTGACTTAATCTTTCCAATAACAGTAGACATCTGAAAAACTATTACTATCCTGCTATTTTTAAAAAGTGACAAAAATAATCCATCGGAATGCTGCCCAATCAGCCTGCTAAGTATCATAAGTAAGCTGTATGCCATACTCCTTTATAATAAATTGGTGGACTGGATGCTGCAAGATAACATCTTGGCAGAGAACAGTCTGGTTTTAGATAAGGTAAATCTACTAGATCATTGCTTAGTCCTGCAACACTTAGCTGATCCTACCCATCTTCAGGAAAACATTATGGTAGATCTGAAGGCAAAAATCCAATTCCCAGCAACAAAATATGGGAGAAATTACTCACTTCTTCATTAACTGATTTCTCCTTGTGCTAATTATGAAACATAATGAAAATACAGCACAGATCTGTGTGGCCTTCGAGAATACTTCCTAGTTGCTACTCCATATCTTTTTGCAAATGGGTGAAATTGGACTGCATTCTGCCATCTTTTCTTTTCAATCAGTTCATAAATTTATTTGCACAAGCCTTGTCAAGACCTAGATCGGTTTTGGTTCTACTTTATGCAGATGGTGCAGCCATTCTTTCTATATCCCAACCAGGTTTGAGAAGATGTTTTGGGGTTCATAGACCCTACTGTAAGGGAAATTTTGTAAGTTACAGTGGTAATAAGCATGTTGGGCAGCTATTCATATCTACAGAGCAGTGATGATGAGCTGTCTGATGAATAAGTACACAGTCTGTAAATATTGTACTGAATTTTCTTTTAAAATTGTTCATGTGAAATTGTTAGGAGCTCTTTTAGGTGTACCCTGTTTATATCCAATTCCCTATCAAAGTTGGAGTCAGACTTGATAGCTATTAAAGTTTTCATGTGGCTTTGCCATCTAAAACATTGATTCTGTGATCCTCTGAGATAGTTTTACATTTTCATAGTTAAAGGGAATAAACTTGGATTTAATATTTTGTGGCCTCTGGATTCAATTTTTCAGCTCAACAGTCTTTGAGAAAGTGCAGTTGAAGATGAAACAGCAGATCATTAACTTAGGTCTCCAGGAAGATCTACATTCCTGCCCAAAATTGAATTGTTCTGCTTATTTAGCAAATCCCTTTTGGTGGCTTCCTATCACATCAACATCCTGTACCCAGAGCAGAGGAGAGTTTCACACTGGCTAGATATGTCATGTTGCCATCAGCATTATTAGAAGGAAAACACAATGGAACTACTTTGTAGGAAAGTCTGTATACCTGTTCATTAGAGAAAGTCTAATCAGTTGATCATATTCTTAATTGTCTTTTTCTGTTCATTATGGGGTTAAGGACAAAGTCTTTGTGTTCCTTCTTTTAATGGACGACCTAGTAATTACATCTGGGTTTGTTGCAAAAATTTGTGCAGTTGTTACTGTAGTTTGGTGCAGGTTTTTGTTGTTATTGCATTGTGTGTTGCTGTCTATGAAGGATGTACTGAATTGAATTTTAAATTTATATTTTGCATGGCAATTTATAGGATAATGTATGTTATGCGATCATTGAGCATTAATAAATGTTTCCTTCCTTACCTGCTTAGCGTACCAGAGTGGAGAACACAAAATAATTCTGAAGTTGTAGGAATGTAGATTCTGGTTTAAAGTTCAGAACCAGTTGCAACCGCTTTGCTAGAGAAAATAATTGTTGGGGATGCTGTTAATTTGGATTCCTGCAGAGAATTGAACTCAAAAGCTTAAATAGTTCTTTCTCCAGTGCTTTCTGGGGAAAAAAAAATACAGTAACTTTATATATGTAAAAAAGAATATAAAAAGCTAATTTCACTGGTGTGTCTTAATAGTCAATAATAATATTAAATAGTTGATTATAATATTC